ACTTACTAAACACTATTTTACTGAGATAACGCTGAGAAAAAAAGGAGCATTACCGCCTCGGGGTATGTGACAAGACAATCGTAGAATGAAGCTTTGGTTGGCGTGGCGAGCGACCATACCTAAGAATGCTGCGCCTGACAGACGAGTTGTCCAGCCTAGCCATTTGAAGAAGAGCGTCAAAAAGAGGGGGGGGAAACCTGACTGCGCTCGTCATGGATTCTTGTCTTTGCTTGAGTTCATATGAGTTTCGCCTCCAAGCGGGAAGTTATGCTTGCCTGCCGCTAACTTGACGTGCATGGCTGCATGATACGCTGCGCGCTACGTCGTAGCAGATTAAGCAGCGTTCAGACTTCGCGACGGCAGCGCTTCGGTCGCGCGTTCGACGCGATCGATGCAGTTGAAAGCATGCGCATCGATCGTCGAATCGCGCGACCGAAGCGCTGCCGTCGCGAAGTCTGAACGCTGCCTTACTATTTCCCTACCCATCTCACACCGTCTCTGTGTCTACATCTCCCCTCCCGACTGCAGTAACATCGTGCCTATTTGATTACTAGCACGTTCCATTTGGCTCGTACTAGCATTCGGGATATGGCTTGCTTCGAAATCCTCATTGACATTTTCTGGATCAGAAATAAGCCTGGCACAGTTTGAAAAGGGAGAATGTGCAGGGGGGGGTCTGTGCGTGAACAGCCTCTTTTTGCAGTAGGAAATTATTAAGGCATGAACAGTACTATCGTTTTTCCAAAGAATCGCTGCAATACAGTGATGTACCGCCTTGTTCTCTGTGGATGGGTGTGCCACGGGGAGGGTGCTTTGGCGCTGCGCCAGCCCGTTTTCCACCTGTTGTTGTCGCTTGTCCTCTTCAATAATTTGTAAGGAGCGGGCTGGCGCTGCACCTAAGCCAGTGCACCCTCACACTGCCCCGTGTAGAGACTGTATCTCCTATGCTAGAACGAGATATGTAGTCAGCTATTCTGCCACTTTACGACAGCGCCGCCCATCCGCCGTCGGAACAAGACAGGGCTCATATTAGGTTGTCCGGAAAGTTCTTAGCGTTTTGTGCACCTAATCTTTGTACATTCACTGCTGATTAAAAACTCATTCTGCCTTGCTTCTCAGTAGCACATCCTGTAGAGAATTTCTTGCGCTATCTGATGGTATAATTGCCGTTTCACCATTGCTTGATAAACCCTCTTTTTTCAAGATTTTTTCAAGCATGTGAAAAGAGCACTTCGGACGATTTTTTTCTTCGGCTATAAATTGGGGCAATCCGCAATCGAAACAGCTCAACAAATTAACCAGGTGTGGGGGCCCAATAGTGCTAAAGAAAGCACTGTGCGGCAATGGCTCAATAAATTTCGCTCTGGAGATTTCAGCCTTGAAGGTGAGCCTCATAGCGGTCGACCTAAAGCAATATCTGACGAGGATTTTAGGGGGATTTTGAAGGTTGACCCATCCCAAACAGTTCGAGAGATAGCAGAAGAGCTAGGCCTTGGCAAATCCACTGTTGCAGATGGTCTGGAACGCATTGGGAAGGTGAAAAAACTCGACAATTGGGTGCCCCACAATCGGAGTGACCGGCAGGAATCGGCACGTCTCGAGGTTCCTTCTTCACTGCTTTTGCGCAAAAGAATTGACCCGTTTTTTGAACGGATTTGTCACCTGTGATGAAAAATGGATCATGTATGATAACAGGAGACGTTCCGGACAGTTGTTGGATTTGGAGGTGGGGGGGGGGGGGTGGGGGGGGGGGGGGGGGGGGGGGGGGGGGGCGGAGGAAACCACCGAGGTAATTTTCAAAGCCGAACCCTCGCGAAAAAAAATTCTGGTCAGGTTTGGTGGTCATCGGCTGTTGTAATCCACTATAACTTTTCATCACCAGGCCAAACCATCACAGCAGAACCCTACTGTGAACAAACCGACCAAATGTACCGAAAATATTGTCAGCTGCAGCCAACACTTATCAAAAGAAAGGGTCCGATTCTTTTGCATGACAACGCCCGCCCACACGTTTCACAAATCACTATCCATAAATTGAACGAATTGGGAGTTGAAGTTCTACCTCACCCACCATATTCTCTAGACCTTTCACCAACCGACTGTCACCTTTTCAGACATTTTCAGAACTTTCCTGCTGAGAAATACTTCATCAAACAGGACCAGGCAAAAAGACCTTCGCAGATTTCGTGGATTCTCGACCACCCAGTTTTTTTCTTTGATGGGATTTCTCGACTGCTGCCACATTGGCAAAAGTGTGCTGATTCGAATGGTGCTTATTTGGATTAAATCCGATGAGTGTTAAGAAAGTTATGATCGTTTAAAGTTAAACACCCAAAACGCTAAGAACTTTCCGGACAACCTAATAATTCACGACTGTAGTTCGCGCGCATTCAATGGCCCATTACGACAGCCGCTTATTCCAACTCAATTTTCGTTTTCACGGCATGTAGTATTCTCGTTTCACTGCATGTATGAATTCAGTAATATTCGGAAAAAACTTCTGTCGACTTTAGCAGTGGTTCAATGATTGGCGGTGAAGCGTGGTCGACTGTAGTCGCGCTATTGAATAGCTTAAATCGCGAAGTATGAACGCAGCTTATGGTAGCGAATTGGTCTAAAGCGTCCACTGCATCTGAGTGAAGTTTCAGTTGGAAAAGGGGAATTTATTTGTTTCAGGAAGAATGGAAGTATGCCGCAATGGCACTGGATCGTCTCTGTTTGGTTATGTTCGGCATTTTATTGTTTGCTTGTGTTTTCGTTGTGTTTTTCGTCCATCCAAATTACAATCTCATCAGCCTTCCTTAACTCGAAGTTTCCTGTGTAAATAGTTTGCTATTTTGCAGGTAAATTTAATTCATAAACTATCGAAGAATGAAGTTTCTGAAATCGACTGATTATCCAGGACTCGCCACCCATCCCAGAATTCTTCAGAGTCGTAGAGGCATTTTCAGTGGAGATTGGCCTACACAACAACTTCTTTGGGATCATGACGAGTCAGGTTTTTGTGCCTCCATAGAACTCTATACGAGATAAGCAACCTGGTCGGCAAGGAGGGTTTGGTAGGGCCGCGGAG